ATTAAATATAGAGTGGGAGACATCTATGTCCTATTTTGTATTTGATTTTCTGTGCATTTAGACTTAATATATGTGTTTGATTAACGTGTAGTTTAAACTCAATATTATTTTTGCATAATGTGTGATTCAAATGAATAAATTTGAATTACATAATAATTTTTATTTGTTTATTTATTTACTTTATGTTTCTGAGTTGTTGATACATAGGCCTAGTTGGTCAAAAGATTTTTTTTTAGATGGAGTTTGTTAATAGATTAAAATAATCAAAAAAAATTACTACAAATTATCACATTATTTTCTATATTTAAAAAAAAAGATATTTACATACAAGTTTTAATTTATAAACTTACACTCCATTAAGTTTTAACTAACATTTTTTAGATCTTCAAATTTCATTAAATTTTTAATAGTCGGAATTGTCTTTCAAACAACAATTGTTCATTATTTATGATTATCTATAAAGGAATATGATGATTTGACATTTATTTTGATTTTCAAAAATTTAAAACATCAACTTTCAAATTGAAAAAATAAAAATAAAATTTACGGGCCAAAAAAAAAAAAAAACTAAATAGTGTGTTTCATTTCAGTTTTCTAAAAATTATATATATATATTTTTTCGTGTTTTTCTATTTTTAGTAAATATTTTTAAAATTTTAACTAATTTTTTTAGATATATCTAAATAGTAAAATATTTATGAAAAATATTTTAAAAAATTAATACATACACAAAATAACAAAAAATGTATTGAATTTTCGTTTTTTTATTTATTTATATTTTTGGTATTTAGTGTATTTTTTAAAGATTTTTTCACATATACAATACTTTTTACGTGTATTTACGTTAGGTGTGTCTAAAATTTTTTTTAAAAAAATTACTTAAAATATTAAAAAAATTCATTGAAAACATTAAAATACGGAAAATAAAAAAAATAAATTTTTTTGAAAACTATAACCAATCAAGCTAAAATGTTTTTTTTTTTTGAAAAAATTGAATTTTTTTGTGCAAAATTAAAAAAAAAAATTATCTATAAAGAGCATGATGATAGAACATTGATGTGCAAAACTGGGAAAAAAAATTACAAATGAAAAAATTGATAATATTCTCAGTTTTAAAATTGAAAAAAAAAACTGATAATGTTCTTGATTTTATTGGATAGTTGAATCAAGCTAATAAGTAAAAGGGTGAAAACGTTTAATATCATACTCTTTTTTTTATCAATTAGTGAAACAATTATTAGAAACATTATTATGCAAAACTGATAATATTTTAATTTCAAAAATTAAAAAAAATGATAATATTTTCAGTTTTACTAAATAAGACTTATCAATTCAAAAAATCTTAAATAGAATTTGAGTTATTATAATATTTATAAATCGAATTTTTAAGTAAAAAGTCTTAAAAGACTCCTTGATATAATTAGATAAAATTATAGATGTTACTGTTGCGAGGACAGGGTTTGGTTGCGCCATTGATCAAAATCAAGACGGACAATAAATGATCACATTAAAGACGGATCAGAAGTTGAAAAATCTAGAAATCCCCTAGATGTTGATTTGTGATTATGTATCAATTTTAAGCAGAATATAACAATCCCAATCAAACAATCAAGACAAAGAGACACAACGATTTTACGTGGAAAAAACCACAATTGGACACCTCCAACTGTGATAAAAAACCACGAGCAACAGCCACAAGAACAATCCACTAAGAAGATTTAAAGGAATTACATAGGTATACTCTCAATTACCTAGTGAATCCACAACGCCTAATTGAACCAACCTCTATGTGCCTCTTCCAACCCGTCTTCACCTTGGAATGTCTTTACGATGAGCCACCCCGGAATCCACCAAAGCTTCAGGCTCGAATTCTTCAGAATCTACCGAAGAACAACTCTCTCTTTTGTAGAACAAAACACAACCTTTGATGTACTCTCTTTAAACCATGAGTTGAATACTCAATAAAACATCAAAGAAAACTCACAAAGTATCCCCAGATATAAACCTTAGAAACCAAAAAGAAGATCTGGAGCAGTAATCCTAAAATCTGACCCAACAAGCGAATTTATAGAATCTGTCCCGCGATCTCCGCTTGAGCGCCCAACAGCCCGTTCGAGCGTCGTTAGCAAAATATGCGCGTCATATAACAGAGGTCCGCTTGAGCGCCAGAAAGCCCGCTCGAGCGCGAAATCACACATCTTAGTACTTTTGCAGGCGATCAAAACTGCTGGAACCAGGAATTCTCCGCTCGAGCGGGGGAATGTCCGCTCGAGCGGACACAGGCAACTTGGAATGCATTTTTGCATTTTGCTTCGGGGGCGCTGCCCCTCGACCCCGCCGTGGCACTGCCCCCTGGACCTCCGCGAGCTGACCGAGCAGCTCGATCCCCGTCATAATCAGCGAAGTGGCAATCTTTAACGCTTTATCATCACAAACTTCTCTGAAAAGCACAATTCGGGTTGGATTCGCATCTAAACACTCATAGCCTCACTGAAAGAAAAGTGCGAAAATAAATACAACTGAAAGGAGTTTTGTCAAACGGGATTGCCAAGAAATAAAACCTAACAGAAGTCATAGTGAGTTGATTATTTAGTATTTCGGAGTATGGATATATAGTGTTTTATAAGATTTTGATTGGTGGAGAGGCGTAAAGTCTCATATTTAATATTAAGAATAAAAAAATAACATGAGGATAAGTAATTAGTGATTAACTTAAAGTATAATCGAGTGATATTTTGAAAGTATTGAACAATTTCCCGCTATGGAGATTGATTGGAGCTTTCGACCTGTCTTTGGCTAGTAGGCCAACCAAGTTCAGACAGAAGATCAAGTTGACCCTTTTCTTGTTTGGGAAATTAAATTGAAGTGAAAACTTATTGGCTGATTTTGAATGTTTCACATTAGTTTGTTTGGAAAGTTAAAAAGTTAAAAAAAATTATAAAAATCAAATATCTTAATAATTTATAACTTTTAATAAAACAAAAAAAAAAATATTTATAAACACATTACTTTTTTTTTTCTATCTCATAAAAATTTAAAAATAAAAAATTATTAAAAAAAATCAATTCTCAAATGAAAGACCTGTCTTCTTGTCTTTCGTAAAAAATTATAAAAGTTATAAGTCTCATTATTTTAGCTAATAAAATACAAGTTAATGTACATGTTTCAAAAATAAAATACTTTTCCAGTAATGTTGTATTATAGAGATTAATATGGACATCATGTGATGGATTGTGATCCTTTCTATTACATTTTTATAATAGAGAAATTTCATTATATCATCTAAGGATGAGTGCAATTATATATTTTAATTTAAAATAATTATAATTTTATATTTTTAGCCATTAAAGGTTATTTTGGAAAGTTGGTTAAAAATTGACTTTTTGATTTTTTTAGTTTTTTTTAAAAAAATATGTAAAAATAAAAAATAAAAAAATGATATGACTCAAAATAGATCGGAAGTAAAATTCCCAAATTAAGCCTAAAAATGTAGTGAAAATATTGGAGATGATCAAAATTCTCATGTAATAGTCTTATTTCAAAGCAAAACACCTAGCAATATTGTTCAAAATTATAAAAATACCGCCATTATATCATTCATTTTGTATAAAAATTCATAATTTTCCTCAAGTGCCCCCTCCTCGGAGTCAAATCCAGAGAAAAGTATCATGCAAAAACAGTGGGTTCATTTGTGAGTACGTTGGAGGGACAGTTGGAAAATTAGTACTTGGCCAATCACAGTGGAGAACTCATTTACCGATGAGAAGGTGGCATCACCGGTACATCATAAACTAAACAACAATGATAGAGATTATTAATTTTGGAACTCTAAAAAAATCATTAATGACATGACACTTAATAAAAAAAGAAAAAAAATACAACACCAAAATCAAAACATCTAATCATTCATGATGAGACATATTACCACATCATTAGTGATAACTCTAATTAGTACTCTCATTCATTTTCCTAAACTAAAACAAAAGGTAAATACAAAAGTGGTTGGTTAAACATTAGGTGGAGGACAGATGACAACAAAGCATCAATAATTAAAACTATTTAAATTGATTGAAATGGTAAGAAGAAGCACCTGATGCTTAAACATTAGGTAGGAAAGATGACAACAAAGCATCAATAATTAAAACTATTTAAATTGATTAATACAAAAGTGGTTGGTTAAACATTAGGTGGAGGACAGATGACAACAAATAAAAATGCTTGGGAGCACTAATTAGTGCTCCCACTAATTAGGTGGCAGTGGGTCCCGCCATTAATGATGTGATGTTTTGGTCTTGGAGTTGTATTTTTTTTTTTTTTACTTTTTTAATGCATTAGTACTATTAGTGATGGTGTTTTTAGTGAGATGAATCATTGTTGTGACAACAAAGCATCAATAATTAAAACTATTTAAATTGATTGAAATGGTAAGAAGAAGCACCTGATGCTTAAACATTAGGTAGGAAAGATGACAACAAAGCATCAATAATAAAAACTATTTAAATTGATTGAAATGGTAAGAAGAAGCATGTGACCGAGCAGAAATTTTCAAAAGAGCTCATGTGTTACCCCCCAAAAAAAATTAGAGAACTATTCCATGTGAAATACTGCCAAAAATATACCATAAAAAATATAACTATCATGTAAATGACACTGGAATGCAAATTTTCTGCATTTGTAAATAGCTTACCAAGAATAATTCAGCTTATCAATGTTCCAAACCTCTCATGTCCAGCTGCAAACCAAAAACTTTAATAGCCTCATACCTGAATATTGAATAATATATGTTTGAATAAAATAAGTTCAGTAAAGCTTGTCCAGAAAAAAGTTTTTCTAAACTGTTGTTTTTGTTTGTGTTTCTGTTTTGAAGGATAGATAGATACATGTCAATATCTAATTTAAGGGCTCTCCTTCCACAACTCCAAAACCACTCAAACTTGCACAAACACTTCAGCAGTTATTTTTTCTCTCAATTTTTCATAAAGGCAGCCGTAGGGTTGGAAAGTAGCTATTTTAGCAACTATTTTAGCCATTTCACGAGGTGTAAAAAACTGCACAAAAAATCGTTCATGGAACATTAGATTACCTAACCGCATTTTTTATTATATTGCTCAAGGACAATTTGTGAAATTCAAAAATTCATTGAAGTATTGTGTAAGAAAGTTGAAAAACCACCATTTATAAGCTTTTTTCGTTTCAAGCCCAAAAATAGCTTAAAAAGGCTAAACAAGCCAGGTTACTGTGAAAATGAAAATTAATATTAAAAAAAGAAACATTCCTGCCTTGAGTCGGAGATTTATAACAAAAAAATCCAAGAAAAAACTAAAAAATCTGTTACATGTATGAGGGGGAAATACTATTGGGATCCAAGAAATTTTCCACATTGAATAAACAAAAGAGTTCCAAATAACAAGTCATTTATGTTAATTACTTGTGTCCCAAATCATAAGTTATAGTCTTTTTCCACCAACTGTTAGCAACTTGAGGACTTTAAGCTCAATAATTAATGAATTCAAATAAAAAATGAGTAAAGCTCATCAAAAGAAAAATAAGGTGTACATTGATCTTTCAGTTTATATCATTTTCATTCTTCACATGAAAACTATATTAACTAAACAAGCAAAAAGAAACTACATTTCTAAGCCAAATTGTTGCGTGGAAGTTTAAAAAACACAAGTGGATAAAAAATTGTGAGGCATGGAGGATGTTCACTGCTGAGACTACGGATCCAATAAAAGGTAACATCTAGAGAATGCCAAGTATATCAAGGATGTGTTGCATATTCTATATCAGTAAAGTGCCCATTAAGATAGCAAAGCCTTCCTACACAATTAGAAAGCATATTGTTACTGATACCAATGCTAAAAGCCCCTTGAAAGCTATTGTTCTGCAAATTAGGAAAATGCAACTCTGAGTGTACATGAGCTTTGCATTGCTAATGTTGAACATCTAGATCATCCAAACCAAATCACCAAAATGGAATTTACAAATTGTAATAACATACTAAGTCGTATGAAGTCTCTGCATAATATATGCCCCATCAATCATGTCAAGCGATAGAAATATGACATACATTATTCTTTCCTTTCTATTCTTTTCGGCTCTTTTCTTTTCTTTTTAGGAGTTGCTATTAACAACAATATTAATTCCATCTATCCCCCTAATCACCCATTCAAATATTTTGAAAGGTTGAGTTAAGTGAATATGTATCATTTTCAGTCCAAAAAAAAAAAACAAGAAAAAAAAAAAAAACTAATTTCTGAAAGAGTTTCCCTTTTGGTATTTTAATTGAAATAAAAAAACAAACAAACAAAATCAAGAAAGTATGAATTATCCCAATACGAGAAACCCTTACAAAAACTTATGATTCCCAAATGGACAATTCAAAGAGCACAAGTTTGAAATCATAAAGAAGCCAGCGAAGATCCTCAGCACCATCATGAAAAAATGCTTGAGACCCATTACACAAGCATAAGGTGTACTTCCATTATTAGCCTACCCAAAAACAGAGCAATCAAATTTGATTCCCCTGTTTATGTCATTAAATTCACCTTAAAACTACCAACATAGAAATTTGCAACTAAACCCACAAACCTTCAATCAAATCTTCCAAATGTTCTACTCAAAATTGTTATAAACCCATAATTTAAACCATGTTTATTGAAGAACCAACTACAAATAATCATAAACCAAGAAGAATCAAGTCACACACACACACGCATGTGTTTGTTTGTATATATGTGTATAGAGAGAGAAAGAGTGGGAAAGAGGTATACCAATGGTAGAAGAGAGATCTCCAAAATCAACATAATAGATTATGCTAAAAGAGGCACCAAGGGGGTGGAAATCGTATAAGAGAATAGACTAACATCTCAATTTTCAAAATTCAAATAAAAAAATTCATTATGTAGTGCAATGAACAAGACAATATGAGGGAATGATTAAAATGATCTCCTATGATATTTATCAAAAAAAAAAAAAGAAAAAAAAAAGATCTTCTATGATGTGCCTAAACTCACCAATGACAAAAGGTTGCTTATGTGCATGTTTAGGTGCTGATTGCTCCACCTCTGAATTTCTTAGCTCCAATCCATCCAAGTGAAATCCAAGAAAAATGAACCCTGATGAACCTTCTATGAAATCAACAACTGATTTAGAATTAGAACCCATGTGGTGAGCCCTCCTACACCCTGGACATTTGAAGAATAACGGTTAGTGAAGTGGTTTAAGAAATTATCTATTCACTATGTCAATAAAAACTATATATAGTTCACAGTGCCACTCCAGCAGGATCACTCAGAACTATGCCATAGTGTTTGTTGATTACCAAGAATCACTAAATCTTGAATCACATTAGCTTTCAATTCTAATGCAATAATAGTCAAGCTAGGCAATAAAAGACAACAATTTCATCGCTCGTCGTTTTTCGAGTTACACAAACAAAACAAAACAAAACAAAATTCAGATGGAAGAAAGCCATTCATCAGAGAATGAGAAAATAACATGCAACTGTTGTTCTTAGTCTCTATTCCTACAATTCGGCTACTTAAAACTTCAATTTGCCCTTGTTTTCATCAAATAAATCCCTACGCACTTATCCCAAAAAATAATCTTCCAAATTCTATTATACAATTTCACAAAGATAACATATGGCCACCTATATCATTGCTATTTTCCTGGGAATCAAATAGTAGGGTTTATAATTGATTTCAATAATCATGCTTATGCCCATTTCCAATCAATCTCAGTATAGGCATGAAAACATCTCAACCATAAAGAAACACAATAGACATCCCAACAACAAATATATGAATATCTCCCAACAAAAAAAAATTCCAATAATAAATGATGAGTAGTGAGGATCAATGCGGATACCTAGATTACTAACCAATGGAATTTTCTTATGGCAATTACCAGTTATGGTTAATGCTAATTTATTACATTTTGCCCTATTAAGAAATTTGTTTATGGTTTAGACATATTGGCAAACACATGGTAGGCAAATTTTAAAGGGAACCAAATATGAATAAACAAGAGCATGAATGTATAGCATGAAACCGAATCAAAAACATCATTGAAGATAGGATGAGACAGAGGAGAACATACTATATTTTTTGGTTTGCTACAGATGACACCTAACTGTAGAATGAAAAGCTGTATATATAAAATTTTCTACATTTGAGCATCTTATACAAAGCACATAAAGCACATGGACACACTACTTGTCCAATCTGGAGGTCTAACCAATTCCTGCAATCTGGAATCTGTATTATATCTATAGATTTTGGGGCAAAACCATAGCCACATCTTAGAGATCAATTTTACCTCTTCTCTTACAATCACGTGGAATACATACACATATCTATGCAATTTCTTTCAGACAAGGTAGAAGGCAGAGAAGAGGCAATAACCACATGTAAAAGCTAAAGTCTCCACCGCTTTTGTTTGTAGCACATTTAGAATTCTTAGAGAAACCATTGAGCCCGCAAACAGAGGTCAAGCGGTTCAATTTGTCTGTTGCAAAACGTTAGAAATGAAGCAAGCAACAGCGTTGCACCACTGCAAACAGCAGCGTTATACCACTATTACATGCTTTTTATATAGGTTATAGATATACTTCACAACTTCATGGCACTGCACTGCACTGCACTTAGTATTGCTAGCTAGGGTTTTCTTTGTTAGAGAGCTCCTCTTGCTTTGTGGGTTTTCTTTTGTTTAACGTACAATGAGTGTTGTGGTTGGTTTGTTTCTTGTATTAGTCATATGTGGTGGAGTTGTTGTTACAGATGTTAATGGAGTTAAAGATGATAAACACTTGCTTGACCATCTTGGAGGAGGTTTAGGGCATGGGATATACAAGAAGGGGTTTCAACAAGGGTTTGGTAAAGGCGATAGGCTTGATGGCGGTATAGGAGGTGGTGGTTTGGGTGGCAGAGGTGGTCTAGGGGATGGTGCTAGTGGTGGTTTAAGAGGTGGAGGGGTTTAAGGGGTGGTGCTAGGGGTGGTTTAGGAGGTGGGGGAGGTCTAGGAGGTGGTGTTGGTGGTGGTATAGGAGGTAGGAGTGGTCTAGGATGTGGTGCTGGTGGTGGCGTAGGAGGTGGAGGTGGTCTAGGAGGTGGTGCTGGCGGTGGTTTAGAAGGTGGAGGTGGTGCTGATGGAGGCTTAGGAGGTGAAGGTGGTGTAGGGGGTGGTTTGGGAGGTGGAGGTGGTGGTTTAGGAGATAGAGGTGGCATAGAAGGTGGTGGTGGCTTAAGAGGTAGAGGTAGAGGTGAAGGTGGTGTTGGTGGTGGCGTAGGAGGTGTAGGTGGACTTGGAGGTGGCGTAAATGGTGGTTTAGGTCATGGTGAAGGAATATGAGGTAGTATAGGTGGTGGTGCAGGTCATCATGGAGGACTTAGAGGAGATGTCGGCAGTGGGTTGGGTGGTGGTGCAAGTGGAGGAGCTGGTGGTGGAGGTGGACTTGGTGGTAGCCTTGGTGGCGGAGGTGATGGAGGCTTAGGTGGTGGTGTTGGCGGGGGTGCAGGTGCTAGTGGAGGTCCTGGTGGTGGTAGAGGCCGAGGTGGTTTAGGTGGCGGTGCAGGAGTAGGGTTTGGAGTAGGTGCAGGTTTCGGAGTAGAGGGAGGAGTTGGAGGTAATGGAGGTGGTGGCTTTGGTAGAGGTGATGGAGTAAGCAACGGTACTGGTTTTTTTGGAGGAGCTGGATTTGGTGCCGGCGGTAGCCATTAATGTCACGCCCTGAATAATTTACACAATATAAATCCCTCAATTTTTAATTACATTATCTTGTTTTCAAATCAACCATTCCAATGCTTAACATGTATAAGGAAAAAAAATAAAGTCTCAACGTAAAAATCATCATCAATCTCTATCTTGTGTATTCATTTAACTCCAGAGATTTACAAAAACATATTCCACATGTGAGTATATAGTCAACATTTCTAGAACATGAATCTATAGCATGTAACACAATAAGTCAAACATAATCAAACGCCCTCAAGGGCCACAAATTCCAAGACTTATGCCCGATTACACAAAAGTGGTTTCTTAAACCCATACATATAAAGCTCTTGGCTTGTCAAAATAATTACAACAAAAGAGAAAAGCCTTGTGCTCTCAAAATATACTCTATGCCTCTAACTCGGCGGGATCACCGCATCTTTTCCTGCACAAAATCTCATAGGGTGAGCACAAAGCCCAGTAAAAAAATCTTAATAAAGCATATACATTTTATACAATCTCCTGAGATGAATGCAAATGCTATGCCATGTTCAAAACATATATCTATATCTTTGAAACTTTTGTACACAATGCAAATTTGAGAATTTAACAATTCAATGATTTCAATGTAGTTCAAAGGGGTGATAAATACAACATAGGTAATCCCTATGTTGATGTCTGCAAGTAGGCATAACTAGCACTACTAAATCTCCACTTTACCGGTAGCTAACCAGATGGCACGTGGTACCTCCTCCGCACGTGTTTTCGATCTTTCACCATGGACACTCAGGCTAACCTAACCAATACCAACTGCACCCTCTATCTGACTTACCGATGTATTTACTCCCAAAACAAATCAATATGATCTTGTTTTACGAAACAATTTCCTTTCTCAAAACAATACTTTTCTAATGCAATATTTAAAATCAATTGCATCAATGATAAAATGAAATGACAATGCAAATGTCCAATGAAATACTAAAGTTCCATTTAATAATCTCAATAGTGCCAATTCAAAGTATTTCTATATCAATGCTTTGAAATTTCTCAATTTCTCAATTCATTCACACAATCTTCCATTGTGATCAAATTACATATCTCTTATCAATATAACAACATAATATATATTCCCAAGAGATAATGTAACAATATCAACATTCATGTATCCTCTGCATGTTAAACGTCATTTTCTAAACTCGATTTTTCAAGACAAACCAATGATAAGTTTTTAAAATCAACTATTCTTATTTCCTCCATGAAATTCCCTCATTTGATACGACCATAGGAATTTCTTCATCATTTCTTCACATAACAATTTACCAAGCATAAATTTCACAATACCTCAACTTTTTCTCAAAATCTCCAAATTCTAGGGTTTTCACCACTATAAGGTTTTTGTTCCATTTTGAAAAGATTCTTCCCAAACAACTCCCACACCTTAAAACATAGCTCATATTTTCAAAATTTTGGAAAAAATAGATAAAATCATCCTCTAACATCATCTAGGATTCAACAACCCAAAATCATAACTTAAACATGATATATATATATATATATATAACTCAAAGATTATTCCTACCTCAAGCTTGGGAGATGAAGAGGAAGAAAATCCTAGAAATCAAAGTTGACGAAAACACGATCCAATTGATTATAAACGTAGCCCTCATCGCCCTCTTCGATTTGGTATAAAAAGTCCCCTAAAACTCTTGAAGATTTGAGCTAAATCTTAGAGAGAAGTTGGATTTGGATGTGTTTATAGAGAGAAGGGAGAGAAAAGATGAATATAGAGAGAGGGAGCAATGAAAATCTATGCAAATCTCGCTTTTGACATCAGTTTTGAGGAAAAGAGTATGAATTTCGAGACAGATGCACTGAAATTCGTATAAGCGGTTTCAATTCCGCACAAGTGGAATTTCCAATCCGCACGAACGAAATTTTTTCCTTCACGGGTGGTTTGCTCCAAAAAGCTGCCTAGAAAATTCACTAAAATCCGCTTAAGTGGGACCCAAAATCCGCTCGAGTAGTTTTCTACCCAAAAACCCAAAAAACCCTGTGTTGATCCGCTTAGGCAGTAACCAATTCCACACGAGTGGTTTTTGCCCAGAACCCAAAGTTTGATTTTTCAATCCAAAACAAGCTTCAATGCTCAAAGATGAAAGTTTTCAACCCGGAAACGTTACGATAGGTTAAATAAGAGTAGGAAAGGAAATTACACAACTCAATATGATAAACAAAACCCCGAAAACAATGTACACTACTTTACTACACAATGCTATTTAAGTCCGATACCCGGGACATCACAATTAAGGTGTCATGTCACATGTTGGTTGCTATTGAATTTGTTACGTTATGTAAGTGAGAGTGGTAGCTATTATTAATATATACATAATTAACAAGATTTGTGATAATTAGATTTTGCTTTTTTCTTTGCATGGTTAGCTTTAATTGTTGTGAACCCTCCCCTGTGCCATATATCTCTCGTTATCAATATATATATATATATAAAATAATAATTTCCTAGTTCGTTTGGGTTCCTCTTATCTTCTTTCTTTTCTTTTCTTCTTCAGTTTTATTTTTATTTTTTTCAAGTCAAAAATTCAAACAAGTTGTAATGATATCGATAATTAGTATGAGATCTTGGCAATGTGCTCATCAAACCAATTTACAATCCAAGCTCGTGGAAATGCTGGTGGCTGTTCATGTTGAGTTGCCAAAGTTACATACAAAACACAATACTTGTTTTTTTAGATTAGTAAAATGAAAATTTTATTAAATAAGAGCACCTCGGGATAAAGAGGTTAAAGAAAAAACTTTCTACATAAAATTAAAAAAAGTTATGATTATTAAATCAATATAATTTTTTTAATAAATGATATAAATTGAGAATTTTATAAAATAAACAGTTCAAATTACTGATAATATATGTGTAATAGATCTCATGAGTTTAGACAACACAATCAATATCATATTTGAATTCGAAGAGATGTCCAAATTCACCTTATAAGTTGCCAAGTAGTTCACCAAATTTTATTGATAGTATGTGAGAGAGGGGTTTTGATTCCATCACATTATGGCGTGGATTTGTCAATTCTGTGCCATTGTCACAGTATTTCGATTTTAATAGCAAATTAATGCATGTCTGTACTTGGGATGTTTTATTCTTCTTTCATCCATTTTTTTAATTAAAAAATAATATACAAATAATTTTTTTCTATAGAAAAATATGATCTAAATAATGTGAAAGTGACGTTTTTTAAAGGAAAAATTAGTCTAAGGTCCCTTTTTCATTTTTCGTAATGGAAGAAATTTACAATATTATTTTTTAATGTCTAGAGTCCCTAAACCCACACCTATATATTAGATCAGAGAAATTTGACTCTCTCTCTCTCTCTCTCTGATCTTCATTCTGTCCAAACCAAACCCTCTCTCTCTCTACTCATTTCTTCTCTCTCGGTCTTCATCTCCGACGTCGCCGACTTCACCTTCGCCTCTGTCTCTACCATGCCGTCGTTGGAATTCTACGATCTGAGCTGGACCACCGTGATATGAGTTGCGAACCACCACGATCTGAGTCGGACCATCGCGATCTGAGCTGAAATCAATGCCGACGGTCGAGTTGCAGACGACGACACGGCTAGACGGCACTAGTCTGTTCATCTTCATCTTCTTTATCTTTTTGTTCTTCTTCTGGGGAGGTCTCGGAGATCGAACTCACCTAGGAAATTATCTTTGCTTTTTGATGAGATTATCAATTGAATTATAGCAGTCAAATTTCATGAACGTGTGTGTATAGAACTTGTGGAGAAGTGGTTTGGAAATACTCTTCTGATCCTGGAGGACGCTAGTGATCCTCTACTAGTCACCTGAAAAGGAATAAACACTCTGGTTGGGGGTGCCAAAATTAGCACTCCGACGGGCAAGTTAGTCTCTACACTCAGGATTACTTGTATTCTAAGTTAAGCACAATATTTCTCACATACCTTTCTCTGACTGATGATCCCATATTTATAGCATTCTTTTTGAGACTTAAGGCCAGGCCCATTCATGATCCTTTACACGTACTTATACTCAACCTTTTGCTCTACTGGCTGGAGTGCTGTTTACTTTATTCGGCTCTTTGATTGACTAAGACCGATGCCGAATAGAAGCTACATTCCAGACCGGACGAATCTACTCGTCCTTATTGATCTAATTATATTCGGCTCCCACAAAACTTTAGTTAGGATGATAGTATATTTTTCCCTAGAAGAAAGTCACTTGAACATGTATGTATAAGTGCTTTTTTTATTTATTTATTTATTTATTTGACTTGCTAACTAAAGCTACTGAAACCAAGTTACTGTGTTGACTAGTGAAATATAATTTGGAACAACTTTATTAGCTTAATATGCGTGATATGCTCTGTATGTATCATTGAATTTTTTATATACCATCGTTCGGATCTACTAGTTTGTTAACAATTTGGAACCTTCTGTGATATTTCCATATCACTTTTATTGGTAATAGTTAGATAATTGCTATGGGGCTATAGAGAAGCACTCGTAGAGAGATTGTTTGAAGGTGATCAAGTCTGTTAAATTTCTCTAAGAAGTCTAGTCCAGAGAAATTTTGAATCAGAGAAAGTAGAGAAATTTTGAATTTCTCTGGAGTCAAGCATGTTCTAAACTAGCCATCTATGATCTCACTTGAGTTAACAACAGCTCAAAGAAAATGGTAACTTAAAAGGAGAGGCTGGAACTTCAGAACCTTGGTGATCAATAATTATATTTTCTAATGGAGGATGATTAGAACTAACAGAAGTATTTGGAGAAGTTTTCCATTTATGTTTTGTGATTGTATTAACCTTTTTGTAATATTGATCCATATAATCAAAGAAAGATAATTCAAAACCATATTGAACCATAAAATTATACCATTCTCTAGTTATTCTGGATTGTTGAACAGAATTATATTTAGCACTATAAGCATGTCGTTTAGTTTTATTTTCTTTGGATCGGAATTCAATAAGT